GTAATGAACCGATTTAAAAGAAAGCCGACGGCTGTAAATTGGATTTATCGCCGACGGGGCGAGCGAGGAGGACCTGCCTGGGAGTCGCCAGGGCGACGTTGCCCCCCGTGTCCCAGGGGCAGGGGGGCGGAGGAGGCGGCTTCGTCACGTGACGTGGCTCCGGCCTCTCTCTTGGACGACGACAGCCCCATGTCGTTCGACGACCGCCATCATGAGTCCCCATCGCGAGCCATCGGGTCGGGAAGGACCGCGCGTCTGGTACCTAGGGAGGGGCGGTCGACCGACAGATGGGGGGGAAATACCTGGGAAATGGCCTGACAGTGAGGAAAAATGATGAAAATGGGAAATATCCTCATAATATAGGCAAGGGCACGATGAATATTGAATGCATCATCATAGTGTAGTAACATAGGCAAGGGCGCTATGAATATTGAATGCATCATCATAGTGCAGTAACATAGGCAAGGGCACTATGAATATGGAATGCATCATCATAGTGTAGTAACATAGGCAAGGGCACTATGAATATTGAATGCATCATCATAGTGTAGTAACATAGGCAAGAGCACGATGATTATTGAATGCAACATCATAGTGTAGAAAATTTCACTGAAACCTTTGTTATTGCTTCTAGCTCATGTTACCCAATAGTAGCAAGAGAAGGCAGCAAAAACTTCCCAGAATCGCATTTTACAAAAGCACATGGACATAAAAGAACTGACAACTTCTGAGGATGGAATTACATGAGCTGCTGCGGTTTGACGAAACAGTTTCTTAAACAAAAAACATTTTCGCTTACTTAAATGCTTAACGGTACTTAAAGCGCCAATCAGGCGCGCCTGCTCTCGAGAGAATGGTCACTAGAAATTGCTTTCGTTCCATCAAAATGTTCAATCCTTCAATGTTTGTGGCACGATTATAAGCTAAAGTTTCCCTCATTTCTGACCACTCGTGCAGGGGAAGAGGATGCAATTACATGAAATGAAAATAATAATAAATATAAAAAATATACAATTTTTTCTACATTGGGTATCAAAAGGTCCCCAGAATTCGTACTCATTTTTGATGGAACTTTCTGAGGTGAATCGAAAGTCCTTGGTTGCGAGCTGCAACTTTCAGAGACATGTCAGGAGATGCAGGCTTTTTAAAGGGGATGTCACCGGATGACAAAGGTCACTGAATGGCAATCTGATGACAAAGGTCACCGAATGGCAATCTGATGACAAAGGTCACCGAATGGCAATCTGATGACAAAGGTCACTGGATGGCAATCTGATGACAACAGGAAGCATGGCACGGAGCCGTGTAAAGACCGTATGCGTTCGTGAGGCTCAGCAGATTCCACTTGAGGGAAAGAATTTCCCAATGAAAACTCTTGCTCTGGGAGAGAATGAAATAAATCAACAGCAATATCATGGTATTAAATACATATGATGGCAAAAAAGAATACCCCAAACAGAGGGAAGAAATGTTACATTGGAAAAGTCTAGGTAGAAACAATTTAAATATGTGATACTACAGGTACTTCTAGGACCAAAGAGTACATGCCGACACGTACGGTTGCACGCTCCAGACGAGTCCAAAAGAAAAAAAGACGAGCAAGGACAAGGTTAGAATCCAAGCAATTGGCTCATACGAGATGGTGCCTTGTCGCATGCAGATAGAGCTGCCAGTGACCTTGCAAGGGATGTTTCTCATCACCCTTCAGGGTCCGCACTCTTCCGACGTGTCTCTTCGGGATTGCATTCCTGGGGGGCATCTTGAGCAGATTTAGAGTACAAGGCCTCTATATCTCCAGCAATGGAAGCAAAAAACATACTGAAGGATGTGTAATCCTCCAGGAAGCCATTAACAGCAGGGGAGCACAGGAGTCCATGCTAAAAGATCAGAATTGCAATTTCAAAGCTAAACTGAATGGTATCAATTTCTCATTCACATTTGTTTACACATCTCACACTCGTGTGAAGCTTCTTCCTCGCGAGCCCATTTGAAAATGTTTCTTTCGGGTCGAGTCTAGCTGCCGGTCTCTCCACGTGAATGCATCGGATTCTCTGCATCATCGATCTTGTGGAAGAAGTGCAAAAAGTGAAATCAGACAGGGACAGTCACATGGCCAGTGCTCAGCATCAACTCAACTTTGATGATGAGCAACATGATTCATGCATTGAGACCTTTTGATTTTGTTTGTGTGCAGCTTCTTTTTGGCTTTGATCAGGCCTCAAACAAAAAGAACACAATTTATGAGAAGTATGCAAATTCTTTTTGGAAGAATATCAAGAATCAAATTTTTCTAGAAGCTCATCTCAGGTGTCATGACTTTCCCAAAGAAAATGAAGGAAATTTTCCTTTGGACCACGCTATATATACAAAAGTATATGTATATCAAAATTAAAAAACTCCATGATGTAGTACAAAATGCCATGAAAATTTACTAATCATTCTCGAGGAACACCATCCTTGTGCCTCGAGTCGAGTCGATCCAACTCGTATTCCAAGGCGGGGAGGTCGCGCTGAAAGGTGACCTTGAACAGCTGCTCTGGTCCTGGGATTACCTTTGCCCGCACTCCACAATACTTCAGCACCAGGTTCAGGCACTCCGTTCCGCGATCCAGGTCTGCGTCGGTGCAGTGCCGGTATGCCCTCGTGATCACGTCGTAGAGAAAAGCCTGTGGCATTTCGCTTGCGAGATACTTATCACGATCGAGGACTTCCTCGAGGAACCCATCTTCGTTCACGGAGATCACCGTCGACACCAGCGGTCGTGAGATTCCAGCCGCTTTGTGCCGCATGGCAGCTTGGATGAGAGGGTCCATGATTTTAACAGGAACCACAGGTCGAGCACCATCGTGGATCACAACTACAGATTCTGGTTGTGGTGGCTCGTCGAGGTCTTTCAATGCCAGGAGCCCGTTATGTATCGAGCGGTGTCGACTCTGTCCTCCCTGAACAAAGTGTACTTTTTCATGGCCAAGCAGATTGGCACTCAAGCATGTTCTTCCCTTCTCAAACGTACTTCTTTGATGGTTGATGATGGAATTATGATTGCCACAAGTTGAACTTCCCCAACTGATATCAGTTGCTGCATCGCCAATCGTGTCAATGGCACGGTGAACATCATCAACTGGCACCACGATTGTGGTTCGGTGGGGTAGTTGCTGGAAGGATGCAATTGTGTGCAGAAGAACTGGTTTTCCTTTCACCAGAGCATACTGCTTGGGGGTGTCATCACCGAAACGTACGGCCGTGCCTGCGGCTGGGATCACTATGTATAAGTGGCTTGGCTTGGACATCACGGGGTTGATGGAAGAAGTCCAGCTATGACTTAAAAAATTGTGACTTATATATGAACAATTATGCCTGGACAGTGCAACAGTCATCATTTGTACTCATGGGAACCATTCCAAAAAAAACTTACTCAACTACTTTACTTCCAAACTTAACTTCACCTTGAACCATGACAACATATGAAACAATACTAATACAAGTGAATGTTAATTGCCCTCATATGATCAAATAACCTTTATATACATTGTCTGAGCATGGGCTTATAGCTCAATTTAATATGGTCCAATCATAAGTCACTTCAAGAAAAAGAACCTGGCAACATCAGAGATGCCACCTTCTTCCTTAGAAATAACGCAAGTTTTCATCGTATCATCACATCTATCAGCATATTCATCGCTGTTCAATTTTTGCACACATTTGTTCCATGTTTCATGAATAAACTCCTTCTAGAAGCTCCAATGAGTCAACAAATAGGACCCCACCCCCTTCAACATTCCAGTGTTAGTAGATGTTTTATACCGTACATGCAGATTCAGCTTAAGCCTTTGAAACTCCAATTGATTTCATGGCACAATGCTATGAGCTTGTGCATGAATGTTTCATAGACATGCTTGAGTTCTAGCCACTTCTCACCTTCTCATCATCAGTATATTATTGCTGCGACCCAGACATAATGATACTACATCATCACATTCCGTGAATGTAATAATCTCCATCCAGAAATGGAAAAATAGTGAATCAGCAAGTACTGAAGCCACCTCAGTACTGGAGTCCGGTTACTCCTTTCCATGCTGAATCGTGTTCCTGGATCATTCGGTGCAAGGCTCATCCATTGCAGCTCACTTTATTCAATAATTTCATCTCCAGACAATAAGGAACTAGAAAAAAGATTTTACCCACTTGGCAGCAGTAGGCCTAAAGGGACATGAACAAAACATTTCCTTCCAAGACAACATTAGCTTCATCACCATTTACAACCAAAAATTCTAGCCTATTCGCAAGACACAAGAGACCGCCTGGTAACCCGGTTGTACCCACTCATAATATCTCGCACAGACAAGACGTGGAATGTGCGTCAAATTTTAGCAGAAGAAAAAAGGAGGGGGGGAGATTTTATGGGAGGGTCTCCAATTGCGGCAGATCACATACTAACAGGTGAAAGAGAGAGATGAAGAGATTCTCCACAGAGAGCAAAGGCACTTACTTCCAAAAAAAAATTACAGATGACAGAAGACAGCACAGGCAGAAAAATTTGCACCCACATGCAGACTCTTCCAGATGGACAGATGCACAGACAAAACCTCGCTTTTTTGGCGCAAATCACAGGGCAACGAGACCATTTCTCCTCTGTACAACACACTTGGGGGAAAAATTTCTTATTTACACACATAGGAACAAAATAAATTGAAGGGGAGTGGGAGATAGGGAATCTCTCTTTCTCTCTGAAAAATAAATAACTCTTTTTCTTTTTCTTTTCCTCTGAGACCAAGAACACTCGAAGCCGGCTTCCCGCACTCGATCGGATCACATGGGAGAATGAGTAGCAAAGTCCCGAACCGACTCACTCGTTCGTTCACTCCGTTCGTGGTCGTGTGACAGTGCTTTGTACTCTCGTTTCAGTTCTTCACGGTGGCAGCCTGGAACTGCTGAAGGCGCTCCACTTCCTCGAGGGAGAGCGCCTTCTGCATGGGTACTTGAGGGCCCCCGCCCTGGCTCAGGATCTCTGGCCCGAACCACTGGGACAGCCCATCCCCACCTGCTCCCTTGTCCATACCTGGAGCATGGCCCATCAGCTTTCCTCCATCTGTGAGATTGGCAAGAATACATTTTTGCATGATGCTGAATTTTCTGTCATTCACACACAAAGCATTTAGCAATTTTCCCACATATGAGTGAAAAGAAGTCAGTAAAAGCAAAATTGTACTCATGTTTGCTATGCTGGGGGAGGGGGGGGGGGAAGGTGCTTTCAAAATTTATCTGGTTACCAAATATTAAATACTCAAGAGTAAAATTAATTTCTTACATAGCAGTTTGTGCACAATGACTGTGAGAAACTTCTAATAAGAGGTCTCCATCATCTAGAGCTACAATGGCTTACAGGGTTTGTGCAACTTTAACTGAAGGGGGGGCTCCTATTTTAAATGTTACATGAAATTCAAGCTCACACAACTACACTGCTTGAAAAATAAAAATATTATGACTGCATCAAGTATTTCATGAAATACAGCATGTAGTTGTTGAATCTTTTCATTACTGGCTGAAAAAATACAATTATAAGTATTAACCAAATGGTTTTGTAAGAGTGGTGCATAAACACACAAGAGCTCTTAACTTCCAAAATTGAATGTACAGGGTTGGCATGAACTTTCATGATCTATATCATGCACACTATGCATTGTGTAGCAGCAATGCTTTGTAAAAACATAAAATCAAAACCACATAGATACACCCTGCCCCTGTCCAGTTTATCCATGAGTCATAAAAGGTCAAAGTGTTCAAGGTTGATATAAATAAAATGTCCACCTACATTGTAAATTCATAGAATCAACTGAAAATGAAAGCATGCTCGATTCAGAGGATAGCCTCGTCATATACGTGTAAAATCATGGTGAATGTGTGGCATATAATAGCCACAATAGATGAAGCTTTGGCCGTGGAAAGGGTTGGAAACTCACCAACACGGCTGAAATGAGGTGGAGGTTGATGGGTGGGGAGCATGTTTTTGGGCCTCACTCCCATCGGGAGGCCTCGGCTCTGATTGTGAGCACCACTGTTTCCAAGCTGATGCCGCTGTGGCTGATGCTGATGCTGTTGAGCTGCCATGGAAGTCATGACTGTTCCACCTAATGAGCCATCAAAATAAATCAACAATGGCAGGAATGTCAATTTGAAAAGTATGGAACAAATCAGCACCAAATACATTACTGCTTTTCTGCATGAAAACTTGGTTTACAGTCCTTTGGTCATAATAATTATAAGAAGGATGCAAAATTCCAAAAGTACATAATTATATCTCCACCATGAAAGTGATTCTTTGATTCTGAACACGGGCAAAGAATATTGAAGAGAGCAAATGGCAGAGATGAACATCAAGAAACAGCACAAAATTGAACACTGAAGTGAAATTTAAAAGAAACAAAACTGATTCATGGGAAAATGAACTAAATACAAAGGAAAAGCAAAGGAGTCATACTGACCTCTCACATGGGGCTGGAAAGGAGGACGCGTGAGGAGAATGTTGGGAGGGAGATTGCTGAACCTCATGTGAGGGGGGACAACATAGGGTGATGCAGCAGCAGGGGTAGCATTCATGTTCATGTTCAAATTGGCAAACCCCCCAGGAGCAGGGATGGGTGGTGGAGGTGAAGTGTGCCAGCCCCCCCAACCTGCCCCGCCTCCCATGCGGCCACCAGGTGCCGGGACTGTTGCCTGAGTGGGGGCCTTCATCCCACTTTGTCCCATCATACCTTGAGGCAGCATCCCTCGACCTCCCAGTCCTATATTGAGCATGCAAATGACACAATTCATTTAGGATACACCAATAAGAGCAGCCAAGTGCAGATGCAATGGCATTGACATGTTGTCACGATGGAGTTCGTGACAGACACAGGATTCAGCTGAAAGCAAAGCATTTCCTTGCATGACATAACAGGATTGGTGAGCTACATACCTAGATTCTGTACACATTATAATGATTAAAGAAGGAAGGGTAGGATGATGGGGATATTTCAACAATGAAAGTGGATTAAAACATTTTAAAATACAGTTTACCTAAGAACCCTCAATGGCTAGTGACTAATAATGTCAGTAACCCTGATGGCAGCAAGTAGCTGGCAGCTGGTAAAATACTGTTGCATCCCAAACAAGCAAGAACACATCATGAAAAATTGAGAGTCGACAATGCGACACTCTTTGTACGTGACAGAAGGTAAGTTTGACATACATCAAACATATACTGTACTTGAAATATATATATATATATGTAGTTAAAATAATGTCTTCAAGAGTGAGCTTCAATGGGCAATTTCTGCAAAGAACACCTTTATGAAGCTGACAAAGCAAAATTTAATAAAACAATGACATATGACATTTAATATCCATGTCTTAAGAAGAAGAAAAATGAGCAACCCTGATTAAATACAAGGAATATTATTTATTTTCAGTTTGATTGTTGGCAACCATCAACACTAGATGGTAAATGAACGATTTTGGAAGCAAACATAAATGAAAAAAAAAACAGGACATAAGAACACACCTGACTGAGGTGCAGCCTTTGTGATGGAACGAGTCTGATGTACTTCACCCATGCCCATGACACCTCCATTTTCGCCTGCTTCAAAATGGACATTATAAAACAATCCACTCTTTGGTCCAAATTTGTCAGGTGAAATTCCATGGAAATCACCACACTCACCAGCGTAGTTGGCGGAAACAGCGTTCGAAGGGGGCAGGTTGGCAGTGGAGTTCATCTTTCGCATCACAGATGTGGGGGTGAATGCAAGGGTGGAGGGTGCAGCTGCCTTCTGCCCCACCTCGTCCCGCATGTCGCCAGAGTCGACCCTTTGCTGTGGCAGCTGCTGCTGCTGCCGCTTGCGGAAGTTCTCCTCCTGCACCATCAGATGCTTCTTGATCAGAGCATTCTGGAGGATCTGCTGGGTGTGTGCTGCCAGCTCTTGTGGGGATGGCACACGGTTCCCTAGGGCACAATGACATACAAAGCTCAATCACCTACCAGCAATATAACCAGAATGGTGCATTTTCAACAATACACAAGGGAAACCAAAATAAGCAAATGGGAGGGTCCTGAATCAATCTGGATAACACTGTCTCTATTCCCTTTTCTGCATCTAATTTCTTCATTTTGTCAATAGGGAAGTGCCCATCCATGCATTCTGTTTCTCATACATTCCCCTATAAGACTTGCACATCTATCTGGATAGATGCTTTTCCAAAAATAGGAATCCTTTTAAAAGTATCTCAACATCAATACAGTTTAGGGACTTCTCAATCATAAATACAATTATAATTATTGTACAGATCACATCAAGAATCCAGACCAATGACAGGGTTGTGCATTAGTACCCCTTCCAGCACAAGGACCAAATCATGAGGTGAAAAAATTAGACAAAACTATTACTACATAAATTTGCAAGATTATTTGACACTTTCTATACCTCCAGAAAAGTTGACTCATTTCGCATAGTGTTATATCCCATCAAGTTGTGGGAAGAGGTTGAAATCCACTTGTTTATAAAAACACTGGATGATGATGATAAAATTCAACACATCAGACAAAGAATATTATAGTTATTAATCACATCAGCCATTTTTTTTAAAGAATCTGAAAGGAAAGGAAAATATCTGTGACTGCATTTATAAAAAATAAAATTAAAAAAACCTAGAACAGTATACTTATTTGGCTGGAGCTGAAGGCAGGAATTGTAATGTATCACCCTGTGCATCATCAAACATGGAATGATCAAGCAATGCAAAAAAAAAAAACCACCCTTAATGACATTCCATGCAATGAGGCAAAAAGCGTACATCATCGTTCTGGTATCTGAGAACTCCTTCCTGTCAACACCAAGAAGAAGATATGTAGCATGCTACCACACAAGGCATTGTGCTTTCTTGTCAAAAAGGGGCAGGTCTTCATCCCCCACCGGGCAAGGATGCATCTCTGCATCCACAAAGAGAACCATTACACTACTAAGGTGAGGGGGAATCCATACTCATGACCCAGAAGATCTGGTCCTTGAGCCATGCACAAGTGGAAACAATAGAAACTCAAGAGAAATAAGGGAAGAAAGAGTACAGACCAGGGCTGAGGTAAGGGAGGGAAGATAGGCCAAAGGGGGACGCAGAGGGAGCGAACCCATTGTTCCACCCACCATTCCCAGATGCATCACCAGTTCCACCACCTTTCCCACCATGCATATGAAAGAGTAAATAAATGAAATATAACTGGGCAATGGAAAGTACAAGACAGAGAATCGCATGACGGGCCTGTTCAGAAAGAAGTATAACCAAGGAGAGAGCATTCTAAAAGGAATAATGAGAACTTCTCACAAAACATTTAATACAGGTGAGTCCCACCAAAAGAGGGCTTAGGGGCAAATGGAGCAATTCAAAGAAAAAAATATCCCCTCGGAGCTCATCTGTGACTGATCTTAATCCAGTTTTCAGTGATACAAAATCTTGGCCTTCCTGTTTAGACATAAAAACATTTTAAAAATAAATCTTTCTTCCAAGTTGTCAGAATGCAAGCAGAAAAATATCTGTATCTATGGCCCTCTCCTATGTTCACACAACTAAAACTTTAATGGGCATCCTTTCAGTTGCTCTATTTAATATTAAAAAAAAACTGAAATAATAAAAAGGAATTAATAAATGAAAAAATCACTCCTCATTCAATGACAGGGAAAATATGAATATTCATAAAAGTTCTAACCAACAGTCCCAGTCTTCCCCTAACTGATGTCAACAATGTATTACTTTCTCTTTCTTGTGGCATTTTTTCTTATTATTGGTTCTTCTTCCCTATTATCTATTATCTTGCACCTCCTTCACTCTCACTTTTAGAGCAAGAAAAAGGCATAGGTACTTCAAGATCATTCTCAGGGGTGATATTAAAAGACTATTGACTTTTAACCTAAAGATTTCTTCTCACAATGAATCTGATTTTGCGAAACCTTCACAGTCTATACGAGTGTGTTTCTGACTCATTCTCAAAATTTCATCTGAATTAGCTGGTCTGAATCAATATCAGCAATTATTGAAAAGAAGTCAAACATTGAGAATGGATAAGTGCTCCTACTGGTAGTGGAATAAATAGAGGAAACACTCATTTGCTGTCCTTTCTAATCACTGAGACTACATCATTCACCTCTTCCACATAAATTCTACTCTTTGGGTCGCTTGTCTCTTGCAGATGGTTTTCATGCGTCGATTCCCAATGAATAACAAATGAATCAATGAGTATCAATCCAGAGAGATACCTCAAAGTTCGATTAAAATTTCCTTGCAATACCCAGGCAGAAGGGACCTATCATCTAGCAAGAGCATAAGGTAAATTGCCTCTCACACATCTGAAACACTCCCAGATCACTATTGCAGGTGGCCAAAAACAGTGAATGGGCTTGGATATGGAAAAGGAGCATATGGCCATTCATACCCTATGCTAGAGAACTCAATAGCCAGTTGTGACAGGAAAGATGCAATTTCATTCCAACATACCTTCCCTGTGGCATCTCCCAAACCTATGTGCCAGACTTATCCTCATACTTAGGTTAAGCTGAGGGTCAAGGATTTAATGTATGGTAATTTGACAATAAAACTGGAAATATTGCAGAGTCTGACATACATCAATCAAGTTAGCCATGAGCACAGAGCAGGGGTGCAGTGGAGAGAGTTACCAGGATTTATAGACGTCAGGGAATTCTCCCATCCCTTCCATCATATTATCTTGACCTCATTCCTTAAAGAGAAGATTCTGGCAGTGAGTTTTCAACCATTCACAATTCCACAACCAGAGAGCATCCATTCAATGATCAACATGATGCAAGGACGAATGTGAGAAAGGAATTCTCAACATAACAGGATTACTAAAGAACGGAACAGTTTGCCAAATGACATTCCATAACCTGTTTCAAAAGAGTTGGTTGGGCAAGTTGATGCTTCTCTATGATGGGCAGGGAAAATGTATGTCCACAGCCTCCTTCATAATCCTATGACCAAAACGATCAGAGGAAAAGCGATAACAGTAGCTTGAGAGAATAGGCTCCATTTCGTTTTCAGAGATTAAACACAGGGCATATTGTTTAAGTTACAGGTTTTTTTTTTTTTTAAAGCACTGACATATCCTGCCCATTTCATCATGCATGAATTCACAAATTATGAATGGTCTCCCAAAATGAATGAAGATTTAAAATAAGGCAACACAATGAAAACCTGCTCTCATTTTCTAGGTACAATTTCAAGAGGCCAGATTCATAGGCACAGCCCAAAAAAATCAAGGATTAATGGTATGCCCTATGTCAATCTTTGCTCAAACTAAGGAGGAAAAGTAATGTATGGAAAGAAACAATGAGCAGATATATCCATTTTACAGATTAATCAATTGATATTCCATCAATGGGAAACATACCACTTACATACATATCACTTCTTTTAGAAACAAGTGGCAGGGAAAGAAGGTGACATCAAGGTGCATTCTAAGCTTTTAAAAATGTAGCCACCATGGTAAAAGCATGCTGAAAGACCCATGCATTTAAAAAAATGCCTAGGAGGGAAGGCAACTAATGTTGATCTTAGCCAACAGGTTGCACTTTCAACCTAGAAAACCAGCATATGCCATGGAGGCATGACGAATTCCATGACCTGATCATAAAATGCTACAGACGAAGACCATGCAGTATGACAATTGTTGAAGAATTGTCCTGGACTTTCCACACATGCTGCAATTAAGGTATCCACAATGCCACCCTACAGTAAGCTCACCAGCAGCATGAGCAGCTGGAGGAGCAGAAGGAACGATGCCTTGGTCATGGGTCGGTGTGGAGGGACCAGAGCCAGTCTTTCTCATGCCCTGAGGAGGCAGCAACAGAAGCTCCAGGGTCATGCGAGCCTTCACCAGGGTCAGAATGCTCCGCACTGTCTCACGGAGCACTGCTGGCATCACTGACTTCTGAAGCTGCTCTATCAAGTGACCCTGTGTGATCTGTCCCTTACAGAGACCTGAAGAGGCCAGATAAAAGAGACACTTCAGCAAGAAACATCACAAACGCTATGAATGAAATTCAAAATTATTCCTATGAATGATGTAATACAACAAGAACTAATGAGAAGTTAACAAACACATTCCTTCTCATCAGTCTCTACCCTTTCTGTACTCAGTAGGAAATATCATTCTTACTGATTAAGAAATGAAACCAATTTCAAGGCAACCTCCTGCCCAATGTCCAAGACAGAAACCTTTCCCATCAGCACATGTTTAAATTATTCCCCTCAGAATGACAAGAGTGCTAAGAAGTGAGCTGGGACATACCAGTGATGATGGCCTGCGCCTGAGGTCGGGTCAGGAGCTCAGGGATGATGTTGGCACGCTTGAGTGCTGCAACCAGCTCTGGGGGATAGGATGAAGTTCCTCCCTCAGCCTCCATACCCAATGAGAAAGAAAGTCTCAATGAAATGACAGACAGGAAATTGATGAATATTGCACCATCACAATGTCAATTTTGGATTTAAAATGTTGCAGGTGTTTTGCAGTTTCCTCCCCAACCCAAATGTCCCAAATTTAGCTAATTTCTTGTTTAATTGAAGATAACATCTTATTATGTAATATTACAAAATATAAAAATCAGCAAAAAATGAGCAGAAATGAGAATGAGCATCAGATTTGAATTTGTCCATGTTATGTTTTTCCATAAGCCTATTCATGAAACATTCTGCGCAAAGGTATTTAGCATAGCATTCCCTTTATCCAGCCAAATTTGCGCAGATGTACCTGGGAGGCTCGTATCTGCTCAGAAGGAAGGCGCTGAGGGGCTTCTGTGTTTCCAACCTTCATTCCTGTTCCAGCTGGAAAAGACATGACATGGATGTTATGCCCGGCTTCTTTTCTTGTCTCCATTCCAAAATTTGCAAGTTTTGACACAAATTACAAGCAAGGATGAGGAATGATGGAATTCACCTGTCTGAATGGCAGGATCATCCAGGATGATGGGTGTTGTTGTGCGACCGGAACCAATTGCCTGAAATAAAGCAAAGCCATGACACAGGTTAGACAACATGATCAAAGGAAGCATAGGCTTTGAACAAATAATGAAATTTCGTCTGCAGCTTCTATATTTTTTGCATGTGTTTGTCAACTATCAGTGAACCTAAGCTGTCTAAAAAAATTTTTTCATGCAAAGTTCAAGATATGCCTCCTGCATAAAAAATATTAAATCAAGAATAATCCAATAACAGGAGTATTTGAGATAGACAATGCCACAAAGAAGGTATGTCTTTTTCCAGAGCAACTCTCCAGAGACTGTCAGCAACCCATGTTGCTATAGTAGCGCTGGCTTGCCCAACGCCCATGCTAAGTTCTGCTGCCAGCTCCTTGTTGGAGAGGGATGACCTCAATGATGCAACTATGTTATGATGCTGAAGGCCTCAGGGACACTTTTAGCCACTAAGAGGCTGCAGAAAAAGATACACCCAAAGTGCAGTGGCTGGGCAACTTGTCTTAAATCAAAATCAGCAAAGAGAAGATCTCATCACACTCAGCAAAAATTGGACTTCAGCTAAATTAATTTCCCCTTCACAAAATGACCTCTTGGGTTTCCTAGTAGCTACTGAGCATACCAGAATTTTTCAACATGAGATGCAATGCCAAGACTGCAGCTGGGTGCAACATGCCCACATTCAGAAATAAAAATATTATGCAAAGTTTTCATGACAAACAAAAATGCCACGAAAGCAACTCCATTATGAACCAAAAACAACTGATTTTCAATCAACTATCACATTGTCTCAACTCAAGCAAAACAATGGCATCAAGAAAAATAGAGGGTAATGAAGACTGTTGATATGTAAAAGCAAATTCAACCAGTCAGTTAGCGACTGAGCACAATTCAGCAATGACCGTAATGTTGCGCGGTACCTACCTGCAGGGGGTGGGAAACTGCTTGCATTGGAAGTGAGGTGGAAGAGGCAACTTTAACCTGGCCGTCGCTCACCGATTCCAGCTGAAGCAACATATCAACAGAAATCAAGGGTATAAAAAAAAGGAGGGGAATGCAGGCCAAATCATGTGCAGAAAAATAACAATACAATACAAAAAATGATACTGATACTATTGAAACAAACAAAAAATTTTACTTAAAAAAAAATTCACATTCACATTACTTCCTAATGATCATAACACTAAGTAGAACATGTGATTTTAAAAAGGTGCAACATAAACATCACACTACTTATTTCACATTACTTTCTGAAAACATCCACGACAGAGGCTTACAAGACGATTGAAGGCAGACAGATCTCCTTGGTCATCTGGGGAGCGACCCTCCAGTTCACTCACGCGCACCACCTTCCCCTTCATCCCAGCTGCATAAAGAGGAGAATGCTCCAACTCATCCCATAAGTTTATGATGAACAGATGAATAGAACATGCACAAAAAGAAATAATTTGGGGAAGGGGTTGTCAATATCCTGCACATGGGGCTGCTGACCTTGATTGGCAAAGTCGAGGATGGCCTGGCCGCCCTTGCGCGAATCCTCCTCTGACCGCTGCAGCATCTCCAAGATCTTTTGACCTGTCCCAGATCCTATCAAATAACACATAAAGCTCATAGAATCACCTCATTGCATTAAGCTACATCTTAGGGAATAGAAAAGTTCAATCTATCAAAACAATGTCAAGAAAAGCGGATAGATAAAGGAACAAAATAATGTATTCATTGTATCATATCTAAAATCATTTTCTCCCATTCAACCTGTCAATGTGAATGGAATGACTGCCATATTCTTGACATTGAAAAATTGCTTGAGGATCCTTCCAGGCACCTTTCCCAACTGAAATGCAGTAGCTCTCACGCCACATAAACCATTGTGATCTGACAAACTGACATTTATCAACTGGCTTTTAACAAAAAACCCAGAGTCTACTCTTAGCAAGAACTTTTGGTATCAGCACCTTGATATGAGTTCCTTTGCATTCAAGATCTATATCAGTGCAAGTTTGCCACGAATCCAGCCTCAGCTACTTATTATTATTATTTAATTCATTTTACAGCAGCAGGTAAGGGGAGGGATGCAGTATTATCAATAATGAATTCAAGGTAAGCAGCCACATACTTCCTTGGAGGAAGCATAACCTGTCCAATATTCATGGCCAGATACCAAATCAGACACATTGGATAGAACTGCAAAGGAATAATGAACAGACCAGATAAGGATGCAATTGAGCTTGGCAGTTGAGATGGACCCATGGGCTCTGGAGAAGATGAGAAGAACTGTGAGAATCTGGATCCCCCATGAGGAGCCTCTTCATTTGCCACGCCATCATTCTGTAAATATATATATGTATCACTTAACTGGCATTCTCTGAGAAAATTGGAATTACAATCATTAACATTCCTGTCTGGACTATACAGAGTTGTCACTATCATTACCAATCATAGTAGAATTGGTGATCAAACTCAATAAGATCACAGGAATTCATCTCACCATAACAAGGCCGGCAATTGAATCCATCTGGAAGATCTGATTGATGTCAAAGTCTCCTGGCACAGGGCTGCTACTCTTCACCTTCTCTTCTTGTGTCGAATGACGACTAGCTGGACGGGATCCATTTTCACTGCTAGTAGCAACTGAAGAAAAATCACAAAATATCATACATGAATACTTAATCACATAATATGGTTGAAATGAATCTACACCAAATCAACTTTAACACGTTGACGACCAGCCTATTTTTGCTTGTCCGCCACGTGGGATCACGCGCATTTTTTTTGTCAAAAAATGCGTCCTGCCATCAGAACGCATGGTCCCAGAAAACATTTTTTTTTGCCGAGTTTTTTTAAAATGTTGAATTTTTTTGAATTTTTATCAGTAATTATGAAATCATAATCTTCTGGAACGTTCTCAACAGTTCCAGAGGGTATTCATTGAAAAAAAATCTGCATCCTGGCATCAGGACGCATTGTCACCAACGTGTTAAGAAAGCACTATAGTTTAGAAAGTCTAGATCATGAAATGAGAGATTAACCAATTGAATTCAGATTTTCTTGCATTTCATAGCTAAAAAGCAATTCAGTGAGCAACCACATCTCATCAAAAGAATTCAATGGCTTCATGAAGAAAACTCAGAAAAGTTCCAAGGTAACACCTAATATGAATTATAACATATATATTATTGATGAAAGATTGACTGGGTTTTAAATATACAAGTTTTTTCCTGAAACAAGACTGAATGAAGCTATGTCTGACCTTCAACTTTGCTGCCAGGTGGAGACACCTTGGTCCGAGCTGGATCCTCGTTGACGTCATCGTCAAAGCCACGGAGTTCTATAACATCGTGCTGTGACGTCGGCCCTCCTACAGGCACCAAAAATAAATTTAATTGCAGGCTGTAGTGACAAATGCCACTCAATATGACTTCATGTAAGATGCTGGAACTCACCAGAGAACCACTCCGGTTCTTCCTCCTCGCGACGGGGTCGCTGATATCGATTCCCGGTTCGCGATCGCCCACCTTCCTGATACCTGCTTTGGAGAGAAGGAAAATTGAAAAGTTTTTAATCCTATGTAAATGACATTGGAATAGGAAGCTCATTGAACAAGTTACTGTAGAAGAGAAAACCATCAAAATGGGAGACAAACCCATAATCTCGATCCCGGACGAGTTCCCGGTCTCGCGAGAAGATGCGTCCGCTGCCAACTCGACGATTCATGGGTGGATGGTGAGGTATTGGATGCATGTCTCTCATCCCAGAGTGATCCCTGCATATCAAAAGCAACTTTTAAGTTTTGCATTTCACAAATACAATAACCTGTAATAGCTAATTCAAGGAAATTAGTTTACAAAGAGTTTACTTAGAACTACCCTTGCTCATCCACACATACAAGACTGGAAAAATCTTTGAATGGAAAGTATCACATGCATCATTTAAACCTCAATCTGCAAAGAATAATATATACAAGGTACTTAACCCAACATCAGAAGTACAATCTTCAATAGAATCCTCAATTTGATGTATACCTACTTCAGAACCAATATATTCCATGGAAAAGAAACATCCAATTCAAGTAGGGCTACACTGGCGGCCACAATTGGGCCAATGCTGACGCTGAATGCCATATGTAGATAAAAAGCAAAGAACCACAATACCAAATACACATTCAAATTTGCCTTTCAGGAAGTCATGTCCTACTTTTTTAAGACTGTCACAGCATCTGTTCTAAAAGCATCAATGTATTGACTTGAACCATTAATGGTGCATCAATGCACCACAGGAGGGGAAAAGCATATGCAGATTCAGTCATCTCTCTTTGTGTTTGGTTGGAGAATTTACTTGGTTTTTCTTTTGCCTCAATTGGAGCATGGATCTCTTCCCATTTCCATCACCTCTGGCCTGTAATTGAGGTGGGACCACCATGATGGGAAATAAAGCCAACGATGTCTCCAACTACTGAGATCAATGTATCATGCCACTCCTGCATATTTCCTTATTGATGGTGTGAATCATTTACCAAGCTTTGTTCACATGTTTCATAAATAATTACTCCATTCAGATGTAAACGGGAACCCGTAGTCGTAGCCGATGAATATTTGAACGGTTGTTGTTTACCGTGACTACCACGGTATGGTCACCAACGGTTTCGTTACCATGTCGGGACTTAAATTCAGTATCGTTGTTTCTGCAGAAACTCTCAACTTCATATGACCACATTCTGGGTAGACTGTCAATTTACCAAGCATACCAAGGTGAGTGTTGAAAACATGTGGTGGAGTGAGGGGGGCAGGACAAGAGGAGAGAGTTGAAAGGCTGGGAGGTGGAGGCTGGTATGAGAAGGGGCAACCTTGGAATGGGTGGACAGGGAGGGGGAGGCGCAAGGGCAATGCGTCCGCTTGGAACGTAATTGCGTCGGCAATGCACCACAAACACTCTAGCAGTATACAATGCCACAATTACACTAGCCTATATATCTCAGTTGGGGTCTTCGTGCAACTGAACGTCACTCACCTCTCACGTTCCCGCTCCATGGTGGGACCGGGCGGGCTGTCGGGTCGCGTGCTGGGTCGCAAAGAGAAGGAAGCATGGCACCCAGTCCCGAAGCTCTTCCGTTGGGGACTGAGGATTATGTCATCTTGCTCCTCCCGGAGGAGACGATCCTTAGGATCGCGCAATCGTCCTCCTTCCTTTAACCCAATACTTTTGTGATGACTCATGCCTGTCAAAGAGGCATGCCACTTCGCTGGATCCCAGCGCCCCTTCTCACTATCAGAGAAAAAGTAAATTCAACATCATGCAGGAAACAATTTGACAATTTTCATCAGCACTTGTGCTCATGGTAGAGTGTAAAACAGTCACAATTTATATTACTTTCATTCTTTATTGCGTACTAGACTTGCAGGTTCATAGAAAAACATTTTTTGCAGTGTCCTCATGAGGTCAGTAAAAACTATGTTTTAGTTTTTCTATATTTCTTGTAACAGAATGTAATAATACCAATAGATCAATAATACCAATACAGTAAGAGACTCACTTCAAAAAGGCAGGGTCCAGGTAAGATGGTTTCTGCTTGCACAACTCGCCATTTTCACGTATCTCCTCCAGCTCCAACTACAACAGAAGATAAAACTTCTTCATACTGCCTCTTATAGATCCTTAAGAACAGATTAATTTACTGGATTGCATGGGATTACTTCACAGTTCAGCAAATTCATCCTTCTTAACTCAAAAGGTGCATTCACGTACCTTGCTGTACCGATGGCGAGGAAGCTTCCGCTCGGTGTTCAAAGAAGAGGAATCAATGAAGCCAGAGTCTGCAAATTTCTCAGCTGACTCCAAATCATCATCATCTATTGCAGCAGGGGCTTCATGGGACATGACTGAAAAGTGATCAACCAACACATGATCAGGGAGACCCATAAATACACCTCAGCTTAGCAATCTAAACAATCACATGACATCCACCTCAATCCAATGTACATTATGCTGATCCAGGCAATGCATGAATTCATCACTAATGGGCAACACTTGCCAGCTACAGAAATTTTGCACAAAACTATTTTCATTATGCACTAACATGGAGTAATATCATTCCAGTTTAACAGATTCTTGGTGGAGCCACCAAAAATATGACTACACATTCAAGTAAAATTTGTCTGAAGCATGTTATCCAATGCATTCAGGTAACATCTCCTCCCTATGCAATAGCAAGTATCTGGAGTTGGTTGGGCTAATAAAAAAAAAATGGTCACAGCTCCCAAAATAATCTTCAAGCCTTTATGGAACATGATATTTGGAAAGAGGAAGGGGATAATAATCTACTGAATGGCCAAAAATAAGGCAACTCCTTTTGTTCAAGGCCAGGGAAAATAAAAATTAACAAGAAACTACAAAGAATACGTAGGCTGCTGATGTTGTGTGCACTGTGATTAAAAGCAGTTATTGTATAACGGTAATTTCATTAGTTGATAAATTCCTGCGTGTTAAGCTATCTGAAGTACGGCACTGGAACCATCAGCTCTCTTGGGAAAATAAATCACATTAAATCTTTTGGAGTCTGTGTATTTTGAATGTCAACACTGTTGCTGAGAGTCTCTTCCATACCTTGACTGTAAAGCAACATGAGATAACTCAGGTGTGGACTCCAAAAAGTTAAATATCATCCCATTGCACTCCAAGGGTTACAATAAATGAGTCCCTCACCACGTGCCGGTGGAAGAGGACGATGCACCTCCGACAGGGGCGCAGATGCAGGACGCGGGGGCTGCTGGGCACAAGACTCCGAGATTTCTTCCATTACCAAGTTATTTCCAGGCCAGAATGTCCAACACAATTACTGTTTCACAAGGATATTGAATGGAGAATAAAGCAAAAGGCAAGCCTAGCTTACTGGAGTGGACAAACTAACATGTTTTTGTGTGTGGACCTTTTGTACGTTTTTGTAAAAAGCTTAGTTCGATACGGAGACCACTTGCTTTCGGAGTTGCTTCCGGTTATTAGCATTGGCTCATTCCGTTCTGTGACGGTTTTACTTGAAATTTTACTTTCAGGTAAATCTCAGGCTACCCTTGCAACAGGTCACAGTGAGGTTAAATACTATGACACAAGTTCACCCAAAGAAATGCCAAACTCAATCTGCAGTTTGTGTAACATCATAAAAAATTTAGGATAAAAAGCAATCTAATGCTAAAAACTTAAATTTCATGATTTTTGGAAAAAAAAAACTAGCAAATGCATTTCTTTTCACCATCCCTGCATAACTTAGGTATATGCCTACTTCATGGATATCATACATGACTTTTCATTTCCAAGAAGTTCCTGACATACACAGCCTAAGGGATATTAACACTATTTAACAACTTTCAATGATGCTGATTTGCAAATCTGGCAAGACGGATCATCATCTGAGTCAAATCAGCTAAAGCTCATGCATGTGCTCATAATACGCAATGAGGGAAAGCCATGACTGTACAGATCAAAGTGTTAATTGCGCTTGGAAGCTGAATATATTTCATGACTAATGTGAACTGTGGATAGGTTTTAGATAGAACCTTTTCATCCCCTGAAAACTTCACTTTTATCAGCAAAGTCAGTAATGAATGCAAAACCCAACTAATTCCAATCTCTTTCCATACAATCACTTTGACATCAAATAAAATAATTTATGCAAATACTCAGAGATGTCGAGCACAATTTTCTCACTGACGTGAAAAGAAATTGTACTAGAGATTCTTCCTTAACCACAGAAACCAAGACAATTTTAACTTAACATTGAACATTATTCATGTATGGCACTTCATTCACTTATTCATTCAGACACAAGGAAATAACTAAATCATGTACACATATCTGTATCTTCATTGGAAGAGCAATCTATCACATTGCAAGTGTTTACCCACCACACTCCTCACCAGACACGTGTGCTGTTATCTCCGAGCCAAACCGCATAGCAAGGCCTTGGCCAAGCTGTGTGCCACTTGGTGTCTGTTCCAAAAAGAGGATCTGCAAGACTACGTATATGCTGAATGTTCTGGTGTTTTCAATGAGTTCCACAATTCATAATATGTAAGCGTGTCAGGTGCAAATTCATGAAGTAACACCTATGTCATGAATTTATAGGCCTAGGCCTATGAAGTAGCAATAAGATCCTAGACTTCCCCATGGGCCTTAAAATGTCACCTTTCTAGCAGCATAGGCCTTGACTAAGCGAATGACTGCACCAACTTCTACTCCAATGAAAAAAACAAACAAACTGAAAACTCATTAGCATCACCATTGCATGCAGCCGTAGGGCTATGTTGCGAACCAAGTTCTAGGCCAGGGCCTACGGTTAAGTAAGATAGTTCCGACGTGAACTTCACCAAACCAGCGAAATGCCCGTAAGTCTAGGCCTAACGATTGGTCTACGTTAAAGGGGTAACTCGGCCTACGCGAGCCTTATATAGGCCTAACAGTAGGGAGCATCCCTGAGGAAATGCTCACGTTAGGCCCCCTGAGGGCGCCACGGATACCAATGTCTCAAATGATGAAAGAAAACACCCGATCGCGTAGCTAGGATCAAGGGGGGGAAATTGGCCGTCAAACAAAGGCAGGGAGTTAACTCGGCGAAAATGACGACAGAATAGAGAAAGGCTCGTCTTTGCAGCTGTTGGTCCACTGGGTGAACGAAGGATGGACACCCTCCACTACAATAATTACGTCAGAGCAGGGATGTCGAATAACGGTTCTCGTTTTCCATGCAGTCGCGAAGCCTGCTTATTTTTCCCTGAGAGCTGCTGAAGTTTCCCATGAGTATTTTAATGCTTGTACTAATGTTCAATGAAAGACATATTTTACTTCCAGGAAGGCCTCTTCTATTTTCTGCGATGCGATCGGTTGAAACGCGAGAGGAAGTAGGAAGCAGATCGATGGCTGACAGCACCTTTAGCGAATCCTCGGAGGGCATTCCGTCGGATGGACTCGGTCCTGCGGGATCCATTGCCACAGGTACGTAAGAAACTTCCGCACCCGCGTACTCCTCTCCCTGTCTGTTGCCATACAGATCCATCCACTTCGTCGTCTGCTTCTGCCCTCCTCAGAAACGCACGATGGAATTATCCGTGGGGATGCCTAGGGCAACGAGTGCATTTCTGATGGAAGATAAACTTTCCTCTCCCCCCCTTCGCATCGGTCGACTCTTTTTTTCCCAACAGCCGACTTACAGAACATTTTCTCCAATTCATTCAGCTTCGTTTCAAGTTCGAAGGAACTTTCGAGGCTGACTCGCCTTTGCGAACGCGCCTTCACCCTCGATGCGGATCGGGCGTTCCGTGTCGCCGACGGTGGCGAATGGCGACACTAACCAGTCCGGACTCCCGTTATTTATTCATTTATGTATTTATTCTCTGGAGGGTGCCGTATTGAATGCTGCGCTTTTGGGGTTTCGAATATCTTCGTGTAAAGAATTGATTTTACAGGGTGGCCCAACATTTTTTTTTNTATTTCCAGGCCAGAATGTCCAACACAATTACTGTTTCACAAGGATATTGAATGGAGAATAAAGCAAAAGGCAAGCCTAGCTTACTGGAGTGGACAAACTATGTACAAAAACACACACCTGGAAAACATGCAAAAACATTTTTCGAATCAAGCTATGCCTCTGGTGAACGAAAGCCTCAACGAAGGCCAATAATCGTAACCGAGTAAGGCAAGACACTGCCAAAATGACGAAATTTTACTTTCAGGTAAATCTCAGCCAAGCAAGGGCTACCCTTGCAACAGGTCACAGTGAGGTTAAATACTACGACACAAGTTCACCCAAAGAAATGCCAAACTCAATCTGCAGTTTGTGTAACATCATAAAAAAATTTCGGATAAAAAACAATCTAATGCTGAAAAACTTAAATTTCATGATTTTTGGAAAAAAAAACTAACAAATGCATTTCTTTTCACCATCCCTGTATAACTTAGGTATATGCCTACTTCATGGATATCATACATGACTTTTCATTTCCAAGAAGTTCCTGACATACACAGCTTAAGGGATATTAACACTATTTAACAACTTTCAATGATGCTGATTTGCAAATCTGGCAAGACGGATCATCATCCGAGTCAAATCAGCTAAAGCTCATGCATATGCTCATAATACGCAATGAGGGAAAGCCATGACCGTACAGATCAAAGTGTTAATTGCGCTTGGAAGCGGAATATATTTCATGACTAATGTGAACTGTGGATAGGTTTTAGATAGAACCTTTTCATCCCCTGAAAACTTCACTTTTATCAGCAGAGTAATGAAAGCAAAACCCAACTAATTCCAATCTCTTTCCATATAATCACTTTGACATCAAATAAAATCTTTTATGCAAATACTCAGAGATGTCGAGCACAATTTTCTCACTGACGTGAAAAGAAAATGTACTAGAGATTCATGCTATACTACAGAAACCAAGACAATTTTAACTTAACAGTGAACATTATTCATGTATAGCACTTCATTCAGACACAAGGAAATAACTAAATCATGTACACATATCTGTATCTTCATTGGAAGAGCAATCTATCACATTGCATGTGTTAACCCACCACACTCCTCACCAGACATGTGTGCTGTTATCTCCAAGCCAAACCACATAGCAAGGCCTTGGCCAAGCTGTGTGCCACTAGGTGTCTGTTCCAAAAAAAGGATCTGCAAGACTACGTATATGCTGAATGTTCTGGTGTTTTCAATGAGTTCCACAATTCATAATATGTAAGCTTGTCAGATGCAAATTCATGAAGTAACACCTATGTCATGAATTTATAGGCCTAGGCCTATGAAGTAGCAATTAGATCCTAGACTTCCCCTAGGGCCATCAAATGTCACATTTCTAGCAGCATAGGCCTTGACTAAGCGAATGACTGCGCCAACTTCTACTCCAATGAAAAAAACAAACAAACTGAAAACTCATTAGCATCACCATTGCATGCAGCCGTAGGGCTATGTTACGAACCAAGTTCTAGGCCAGGGCCTACGGTTAAGTAAGATAGTTCCGACGTGAACTTCACCAAATCAGCAAAATGCCCGTAAGTCTAGGCCTAACGCTTGGTCTACGTTAAAGGGGTAACTCGGCCTACGAGAGCCTTATATAGGCCTAACAGTAGGGAGCATCCCTGAGGAAATGCTCACGTTAGGCCCCCTGAGGGCGCCACGGATACCAATGTCTCAAATGATGAAAGAAAACACCCGATCGCGTAGCTAGGATCAAGGGGGGGAAATTGGCCGTCAAACAAAGGCAGGGAGTTAACTCGGCGAAAATGACGACAGAATAGAGAAAGGCTCGTCTTTGCAGCTGTTGGTCCACTGGGTGAACGAAGGATGGACACCCTCCACTACAATAATTACGTCAGAGCAGGGATGTCGAATAACGGTTCTCGTTTTCCATGCAGTCGCGAAGCCTGCTTATTTTTCCCTGAGAGCTGCTGAAGTTTCCCATGAGTATTTTAATGCTTGTACTAATGTTCAATGAAAGACATATTTTACTTCCAGGAAGGCCTCTTCTATTTTCTGCGATGCGAACGGTTGAAACGCGAGAGGAAGTAGGAAGCAGATCGATGGCTGACAGCACCTTTAGCGAATCCTCGGAGGGCATTCCGTCGGATGGACTCGGTCCTGCGGGATCCATTGCCACAGGTACGTAAGAAACTTCCGCACCCGCGTACTCCTCTCCCTGTCTGTTGCCATACAGATCCATCCACTTCGTCGTCTGCTTCTGCCCTCCTCAGAAACGCACGATGGAATTATCCGTGGGGATGCCTAGGGCAACGAGTGCATTTCTGATGGAAGATAAACTTTCCTCTCCCCCCCTTCGCATCGGTCGACTCTTTTTTTCCCAACAGCCGACTTACAGAACATTTTCTCCAATTCATTCAGCTTCGTTTCAAGTTCGAAGGAACTTTCGAGGCTGACTCGCCTTTGCGAACGCGCCTTCACCCTCGATGCGGATCGGGCGTTCCGTGTCGCCGACGGTGGCGAATGGCGACACTAACCAGTCCGGACTCCCGTTATTTATTCATTTATGTATTTATTCTCTGGAGGGTGCCGTATTGAATGCTGCGCTTTTGGGGTTTCGAATATCTTCGTGTAAAGAATTGATTTTACAGGGTGGCCCAACATTTTTTTTTATTCCATTCCTTCTCACGTTCATCCTTTCGTGCTCGAATTATTTTTCGTGCGTGGGAAAAAACGAGGGAAAAATCGACCCGAAAGTTTCGGCTTACGTTAATCTTTTCATTATTAATTCGTATATTTCGTTAAGTAAAGTGTTCCAGCCAATTATTCCACTCCAAAATGGCAAAATTTGAACGCAGAGCAGCACATTCAATGGCAAAAAAAAAATTACAAGCAAAACTCCGGTGTTTTTCTTTTTTTCCCGAAGAATGCAGAAAACGAAGTCAGCCCATCACATTCCCACCTGCTTCAGCACAGAAAAGGCTCCAAAAACGACGACGGACAAAGGACGGGCAGACGGGAAGCACTCCGACCTCCCGACCTCTCGGCATGGGGTGCCTCCAAACACTGCAGCTCCCATCGCCCGCGCGCTGAAGGGAGCGGAGGGGGGGGGGGGGGAGGGAAGTGGGCGGGGCTTGGAATCCCGCTCCCGCGAGAGCCGCGCGGTTCGCCTAGTCGTGGGAGGTGGGGTTCCTTCCCGCGCGCGGGATTGCGACGCGGTCGATCACGTCACGACACGCTAAAAGAAAAAAATGATTATTTTCTGTCGCGTCTGAGATCGGAATGCGCGATGGCGTTCGCTTACCGCTCTGGTTTCTCCCTTCACCGACAGGTGGAATCGTCGACGCCTTAGGGCCGGCGCCGTTTCCCGGGCGGTTCCAACTTTGTTGCGACGCGTTTAGACTGGGCCGACGTTTTTCCTCACGAAGACGGAAGAGTACGAGAAACGGCGAATACAGGCAGGGTGTACGCCAAGACATTCTGGAACTTTTAATATCACACTACCCCATTATTGTTAGGAAGGTGAAAATTCCTGAGCAAGCACGATCTGAATCGACCCCCCCCCCCTTCCACCAGCCTCCGTTCGATCGCCATTTTAATTTTTCATCAGCGGTAAAACGTGGATTACCATTTTTTACATCTGGATTACCTTTTTAAGGTGAAAAAGAAGGGAACCTTGCCGTAGAGGAGCAGTCGTTACCCCCCTCTCCGCATACAACACCGACACGATCTCCCTCGAACAAGAAATACTTGCGTTGGCGATTCGCGTTCGCGATATCGAGTGTTTCTCCCGAAAAGTGTTCGCGGACGGGAATTCGCTCGACGACGGTGGGAGCGTCACTGCCGCATCCAAAGCGGAAGGCAAATTAAAGTCGGACGGACAAGGAACGCAAAATGAGGTCGGGATGTGTTCGAAGACGATTTCGAGAAAGTCTCAAGTCTCAAGGTGGGGAAACGGAGAGGCGGAGAAGCTTCACTTTATCGACTGGATTTTTTTTGTTGTTGTTGCTTTTATTTCTCCCCTCACGTCAGGCGTGTTGGCAGGTCCTGTCGCCACCCACGCGCTAATGGGAAGGAAGATGCATTATTCGAATGCCGGGGCATTCAGACGACGGGCCATCCCCGTCAGTTCCATCAGTCTTAAGTTCTAATCTCGCGGTGGCGAAATGGACTCTCCCATCGGAACGTCGCACGGACGGCCTCGCATTCGACACTGAAGGTCGGTGGGTGACGGCTGGACGAAGGATGCACGAGGGAATGCGCCCAAGACCTGCAGAGGCGTCCCGAGCACGAAAGGAATCCTCCACTCACGGCAAGCGAGGTTGGAGATCCGCTTCACTCGCACTGGCTTTCCCCGCCTCCCCAGCCGTTCGCTCCTCCTGCCCCTTCTCATCTACCACACGCTGAAGGCCATTCGGTGCACAACAGGGAAGGAATGGATTCCGTTAATACGTGCAACTGGTTCCAGTATTCTCTCACGTTGGTTTTCCTGGTCTTCGCGAAAATCGTTGGTTTTTGCAAGGAGGAATTTACCCCGTACGAGGTGTATCTGTCAGTATCGGAATTCACGCGAATGCGTAGTTATTTACCCTCATTTTGGACTACGTCACGGTTTAAATTAGTTTCTTGAAGTTGGGTAATTGTCTTTTGGTAATTATCTTTTGTTACACCTGGCATTTACTAAGTAACTCTGTTCTCGGAGAAACAATGAGAAACAAAGAAATAATAGTCGCAAAATGAGGAGAACCATGATTGCCCTGCGCACTCCAGGAAAAGAAGAGCGAAGAGAGTAAGGCAACAGAGAGGAAATCTGCGATAGAAAACCAAAATTCTAGGCAATGACGATGATGAAGACCAGACCACTTAAGTCTTCCTCATCGCCAAGTGCAAGAGGATAAATTTGGAAATTCGATTCCAAATTTATAGTGAACATGTTCTACAAACAATCAGCAATTTTCGACCCTATCTGGTGACAAACTTCGAAGTCCAAGGGGCAAATGTGATGTTTCCGCTTTATATGAAATAGAAACAGAGTTGAAAAGAAAATGGTCCATCGTGCCCCATAGGATGGTCCATCGTGCCCCAGTGGTGGGGCACTATGGACCATTTGAACAAACAGTTTAAAATGTGCCATTCGGAAACAGACTGC